ATGTCTAAATCGTATCATCGAATCGACTTTTTGACTACCCAACTTCATGCTCTCAAAGAAAGATCCAAAAACACCGCATTTTCTCTAATAGTAGTGCACCCTGAGCGTCACCTAAATTTCTCGAAATCTCGAGAACCGCTTATCAGAACCTATCGATGTGGGGTCGAAAAATGTAGCTGACGATGAGATCTAGTGGGGGATTAGAGTGTTGAGCTGCTTGGAAAACTTAGAAACCGGAAAATACGCTAATAGTAGTGCATCAACTCGGCTGCAGTTGATGCACTACTATTAGAGAGAATATGGTATATCGAATCGTTATTGAGCCAAGAGAAATCTGATATACAATATTTATACATTTTACAAATGCACAACTTATTCTAACAGCTAACAACAATTTTCACAGCAACAATTCTACCAGCAACAATTCGAACAATTATAAGACAAAGTATAGCTGACGATGAGATCTTGTAGGGGATTAGAGTGTTGAGCTTCTGCAAAAGCGTGGAAATCGTAAAATAGTCATCAACTCGACACGGCGGGGTGCACTAATAGTATTAGGGAAAATACGGTATCATTTTCTCTCTTATCTTCCCCTCTTTTTGTTTATCGCTTTTTTTTCCCAAAGGAACCTCTTTCTTTTTTTTTCTCAAAAAAATGTTTTCCCCTCTTTTCCATCGAAAATCTCCTTTGTTTTTGTGTTTTTTTTCTTCTTCTTTTGCTGAAGAAAATTGTTTCTATTATGCGAAAAGAAAGATTTGAATCGATTCCAAAAATATAACAATAACATTTTTTTACTGAACCGGTTTTTGTTTTTTTGCTTTTTTTTTGTTTTTATTTTCAGTTTAATGGCTCTTTTGTTGTTTCACTTTTGATTCTGTTTACTTGTTTACCTTCTGATTCAAATTCTATCCTTTAAACATCACATGGCTCACTTTTTTTTTGTCTTGAATTGATTTCAAAAAAATAGATTTGAATTCTGGGAAATGTCGGCGTTGTACTCGGTGCCTTTCTCTGGTGGTAAACGCGGGTGTCTCTGGTGCATTCGTCTTTCAAATGTCGTTAGAGGGCTGAGATTCAGCTATTTTTGCATTTTAAGAGTCAAAAATTGAAAACTTGGACTTGTGACTTGTGTCTGCTGTACTTTTATCAACAAAAGATCGAAAGTTTTGTCATGAAAAATACAAAAATGAACGAATTTTTGTACTTTCCCCAATTTCCAATCATTTTTTGTATTTTATTTACACGTTTTCCACATCTTTTTTTGCTATTTATTTCACTGCGCCAATTTTTCTCATAAAAATTTTCGGAAAAGACACGAAATTACAACAAAACAAGTTCATTTACAAAACGATTTTTGCGAGTTTTCCGATTTTCTCTCAGTCAATGATACTTTTTGTAGAAATGCGACGATTTGTAGAAATATTTGTAGAAATACTTGTAGAAAGATTTGTAGAAATATTTGTAGAAATTTTACTTCTATAAATATATTTGCAAAAGCAGCTTTTTTTAAGTCTTTTCTCTAGAGGCCAAGCCGTTAAAATTTGTGTCATTTTTATGTAAGAAAAACGTTTCCTCGAAATTGAGAGATTTTACAATTTTCTTTATTTTCTAAAGAATAAAAATCGTTTCAGAAAACGTTTAAAACTTTGCAAGTTTTATGCTTTTATTTTTATCTTTCTTTGTCCTTCTCAATTTGACTCTTGATCTGCACTCAACAAAATCACAAATTGCTAGTTACAACCTGCTTGGGAAGGCACTAAATCATAACTCGAATTCATTGTTAACCATGTGAAATTTTTGAATTAAATGCGAGCTAGTGTGTTTGATTTCAAAACTTAACTTTTCTCAAGAAAGCCTGTATCAAAGTTATCGGATTCTTTTCACTATTTTATATTTGAAATTCATCAAATTGTTGAGTGTATCTAGCATCAAAGCTTGCAATTAAAATAGTTTTTGAAACCGTGGCTGACTGGTTAAGTGTCTTTTATCTTAATCGGAAGGTCGAGGGTTCGAACCCCACATGCGACATGGCCCCCTTCGCCTCCCTTCGGGTTGAGGGGTTCTGGGGGGCAGTCTGTGGTTGTGGCCCAGTTCTTTAAAGTGACAAGCCCCCTTCATCGTCATCTTCCCTTCACCACCAAAAAGCTATTTAGTTCCCCATTGAGCTAGGGTTAGGGGCCGTCTGTCATGACGTGGGTAGTTGTGTTGGTCTTGTATTGTGATTGATATATTTTGTATGCGATAAATTCACCACTGGTAGCCCCAGTCGGTATTTTTTTTTTTTAAACTGCTATAAGCAGTTAGTTCGGAGCTGTAGGTGTGAACTTTTCGTAAGGAATCCTTTGTCTGACTGAGTTGCGGTAACACCTTTTAGGATTAAGAACTCATTTTAAACTTTAGAACACACCTAGCTTTTAAGGCTTTTTTTTTGCTATTTTGATTAATTCTCGAATTCCTAGCCTGTTTGTTTGCAGTTCTCATGTTTATTCCCAATCCAATCCATCCATTCATTGCTGAACTGCTCCCTTCCGATTTATTGCCCATTTATTGCCACTTCAGTGATATTTATAGAGTTTGAGAGTTCACCGAAAACGTTTTTATTCTGATAAACAGAAATTTTATAGACTTTTTGATTGTCTGATTGCATTTTGATTGTGTCTTCTGTGAGAAATCAAAGATTTTAAAAAGAGCAGCTGCTTTTTTGCGTCACAGGCTTTTCTAATGCTTTTAATCTTAAAAAAATAATCCTTTTGATATAAAATCATAAATATGATGGCGGTTTTTTACGATACATACTTAATTAGATCGCTATAAATGTGAGCTTTACACTTTTGAGCTAAAGAAGGTTTAGCGGACTTGCAAACGCATAATCCGTCCTTCTTTTGCGCTAAAATTTATATGATTATTATTTTATCCATTTATCCAACAAGCCTGACAAATTGATGTTAATAAAAAGAAATGAATAGCAAAGAAATTGAACCCTCGACCTTCCGCTTACCGGAAGGCGCTCTACCACTGAGCTATCTGGGCCTTCTTTGCCAGAGAAGAAATAGGAAATACAAGCAAGAAAGAAAGGAAGAAAGAAAGGAAGAAAGAAAGGAAGAAAGAAAGGAAGAAAGAAAGGAAGAAAGAAAGGAAGAAAGAGAAAGAAATAATAAGTAATGTACTGAAAAAGCCGGTAGTCAAAGTGGAAAGGATTCTCAAGCTTGTTAAAAGGTAGTTAAACTGATGACTTAGGCTTTAAACGATTTTTTTGGGTATGAGCTCGTTCTGGACTCAGCTGGAATTGGATAGCTATTCAAGATCCATCAGTCCATGTACTGAACAGCAGGCATATTAACTCCACTCCGTTTTCGGTCCGTTTACCGAACAATCTACGAAATTTTACTCGTATCTTGACCGGGTTTGTTTGAAAAACGTTGAATTTGCTTTCATTCGACTAGAAATTAAATTTCGAGTCAAATGAAAGTAAATTCAACGTTTTTCAAACAAACCCGGTCAAAATCCGAGCAAATTCGTAGGTTTCCAACGGCAAACGGGAACGAAAAAAGGGGCAGAGTTAACATGGCTGCTGAAAATTACTAAAGGCGTGGGTTTCTCACCGAAACTTGAAAGGTAATCAAACATGGTTTGCCTCTCTAAACAACCTTTCTTTTTATGAGGCTTTTTGAGGGATCCTGCTTGTTTCTTGGAATTTCAAATACATTCTTAAAGTCTAGAAAGTAAGTCATAGTCCATTTCCATTAGAACGTATCTATCTATTTATCTATATAAAGCTTCGAAAGCTTCAATTCGAAATCCCTTTCCCATTTCAACTATACACTCTGGTTTCCCTCATTTTGATTGAAATTCAAATCTCTTTCCCTCTCAATTTCTATATTCGATATGATATGTCGATCTTTCCCATTTTCTTTCTTTCTTTTTCTTTTCTTTTTCACCTTCAGAGCAAATTGAATTTTTCGCCTTTCTTCCCTCTTTTTTTCGCTCACTTTTTTCCTGAAAAGATCTCTTTTCAGAGTTGAGCTAAATAATTACTTTTACTCGTTTTTTTACTCTTTTTAACCCTTTCATCCCGTCTCTCCATTCTGCAATTAGCTTCGTGAATTTTGCTGAATTTTTCCTTTCTTCAGCTCAACTTTTCTGTTACCTAACGGTCTCATATTTTTCTTTTAATCTTTAAAATGAACATGTATCTTTACGGAATTCTTTCCGGGTGTACTTTATGCGAGCCTTTCTGATAGAAACGTACCCTTTCTGGTGCACTCGATTGTCAATTTCGTTTAGCAACTCTTTCTCTCATTAACACTAAATCGTTGCCTAAAGAAAAGGCGGATTTAAGTACACCAGAAATAGTGTGTTTCTGTTTTTGAGTACAAAGTAAATGTCTGCTAAGTAAGTGATATGTCATCAACTAAAAACTCGATCTCTGTCGTGCTTTTGGAAGAAAAATCTTGAATTTAGTTCGCCAGAAAGAGTTCGTTTACATTTAATGAGCTGTGACAAAATGGTGAAGCTCGTTTTCCATGAGCTTCATTTGCATACTACACAGAGCTTTTAATTATCTATAAAATTTTCAATTTTTAAAACACATTACCGATCGATTTCCTTTCCAAATTCGACTATTACTGCACATTTTTGTACTCAAAGTTTTCATGGAGTTGAAAATTATGCTGAAATTTTATGCAAATCCAAATTTTCGACAAGCGAAGAGTGAAGATCTGATCAATGGTATTTTCTCTTTCGTTTTTTTGCCTCTTTTTTTCATGTTTCTCAAAATTTCAGACAAAAATAGCTCTCAATAAGACAAAAAGAAAATATTAAACAAAAAAAATGATTGTCTGAGAAGAAAATTTCAGGATTTTTCAAATTTCTGATCTTTTTGAATCATTTTTGGAAAATCTTTTACAGCTTTGTGGCTTTTGTTTTTTTGATTTACATTTTCTGGTTCTCAGTATTCAATTGATTCCTTAAATCCTATAGTTTCAAGTTCTTTCAGAGAAATGCATGTGGTGTGTGCGGACCCGGCGACTCGAGCCCAACTCGCCGATCGGCTCTCGTTGGCCGATGCTGAACACGCGGCGATCGGTCAGTTCACTAACCAAATCCCATTCTAAATAGATCACAAGCAGAGCTGTCAACGCCGAAAGCTATGGTTAACAAAGACAAGTACAAGACCAAGATAGTTTCAAAAGAAAAGCAAAAAGCAAAGTCTTGCAAGACTTGAGATCGGCTTCTAGTCGGCTTCAGCACCTGACTTTTTCACAACTCCGGCTAAAACAGACTAAAACTCCGTGGTTCAACTTTCATTAGCCCTATAGTCTACTATCATATTCGTTCTATCCTATAATATTCTATAAAATTCGTTCAAAAATTCTAGTGGTGGCCGGCAGCGCAAACTCGGTTCACGCCTATTTCGGCACTCCGGACACTTTCGACAATGTCGTGGTGGCGATTAGTGATATCGGCGAGAACAATCTCAAATACGCTATCAGATACATGTTAGCAAATGTGAGCTACAAGTTACAAGTACAAGTTTCCAATACCCAATTCAATAGAGTTAAGCTTTATGTATCAATAACATTCAGGCCGACAAGCCCATCAAGCTGGCGATTGTGATGGACGAGTGGAATGAGGTGTTGGGGGAAAGATTGGAACAGGTAAGATAAATCAAATTTACCGGCAACATTGTAAATCAATACTCAGTGATATTTAGATTACAGCTTACAAGTTTAGCTTATAATTTAATTCAAAACTAAATCTCTTATTTCTTTCTCTTTCTTCATGTCTCTTCCCCCTTGTATTTCCTTTTTCTTCTGTGGGAAGAAGCTACCAGATAGCTCAGTGGCTAGAGCATCTGCCCGGAAATAAGGGTTCAATCCGCCCTTTTGCCATTCCTTACTTTACCATTTTATCCATTTCAGGTGAATCCATTACCAGAGGAAAAGCCATTCTTAACTTTCCTTCTTCCTTTCTTCTTCCCCCTTGTCTTTCCTTCTTTCTCTTGGCAATTTTCAATTCTTCTTTCTCTTCTTTCTCTTTCTCCGGCTCTTAAGATACCAGATAGCTCAGTGGTTAGAGGATCTGCCCGGAAAGCATAAGGGTTCAATCCCCCTGCCGGAAATCTTTTGCCATTCCTTACTTTACTTTATATCCATTTCAGGTGATACGAACCGAGTACCGTCGAGCTGAGAACAACAATCTGAGCGAGATTGAAAGAGTTCGGTGGGTGGAAAGTTGAATGAAAACTTACAAAATTTACATACAAATATTAATACAGTAAACCCTATCAGTTAAACTCTCAATTAAACCCCAGCTGGATAGTGGAATTTTCTTGAGCCCTGCTCTGCTCAACTGCTCAATTGCTTCTACTTTAATCAGTCTATCAAATAGCAAAATAGCGACAGTGACTCAGTCTATCAATTTATAATAATTTGACCTTCAGAATCTTTCGTAACGTATTTAATTACTAGATTTTAAGATCTATTACTATTTTATTTTAAATTTAAATTCAGAAATCTCCGAGAGAGCGCCTGGAAAACGGAGCGTTTGCGCGAGTTGGAGAAGTGGCGAACGATTCCCGCGTTTCAATATGCAACTTTTAGAAACAATTTGATTCTGGATGTTAGTTTTTAAAGCTAAATTTCTATTCATTTTAATCAATTTCTTTTCATTTCTTTTTCAGAATGAGTTGAAGAAATTCTTCTCGGACACATCGAGCACATCAGCCGTTGAGGATCGACACATCGCTCAAAAGCCACCGGTTTGAAGATTAAAAGCAAAATTTGCATATCTTCCTGTAAATTCAAATAAACAATTGCAAAATAATGATCTAGTAAAGGAATCTGTTTTAAGCTTCTTCATTGGACAGCACTCCCACTCGAAGAAGAGATGCAAATCGTCTTGAGATTCACTTTTTCTTTATATGGTAATTTGCAATTTTATGAGAGTGCAAATTGCATTTAAACAAAGTCAGAGAACTTTAAAATACGGGAATTCCTAGGCCCAGCCGTCTCCGTTCTCCGATCGGCAGCTGAAACCTCACAAAGCTCTTTCGACTCGACTTATCACTGGACACACGGGGTTTTGTTGACCTGTGAACCGGTAAAAAACATTTTAATCTGACTATTATCTGATATCTGATAACCAGCAAAAAGCAAAAGAATTGACGGCGAGAGAAGTCGAACCCGCGACCTCTCTCTTTCGTTCGTTTGAGAGACCTGGCCCTTAACCATTCAGCCATCCTCTTTCATAGATGGTGCAGTGCGAGCACACTTGTCTCTAACCCACAAGACCTGGGTTCGACTCCGATCCGTGTTGGCACTTTTGGTTTTTTAGAAATTTAAAAACATGTTGCACAACTACATGGAATTCTAAGCCAAACTAGCTATAAGTCATTTGAAACGGCCCACTGCGCGTGGAGGAGACAAATAGACAGACATAGCTCTTTTATAGATAGTAGATTCGTCTAGATAATAATTTTCCAGGTTCGTGTTCACCTTCAATTGTTAACGCCGCAACGGCTCGAGATCGCGGGACGGGTGGCCGTTGACGAATTGGAAGGTGAGTTGCTGGAGATTTGATGACTCTACCGGTTACTGTATCATTGTAGCATGACAGCTAGATAAATAGCTTTGGTTCTTGTCTCATTACTTATTCAAATACAAATTCGAAAGCTAACTAAAGCTGTTCAACTGGACCCTCTCATACCGTACTCTTCTAGAGCTCTAAAACTTATCAACTTTTGTAATCCTACCGTAATCTTGTCTCTAGTTTTATCCCATCCTACCTTTTTTGTCTATTCTGTAATACAAAGATATCAAAAGATAGAAAAATAGATAAATTGAATAAACGAAAGGCAAGACTACGATAGCTTTCAAAAGTTGACATGTTTTAGAAGTTGTAGTACTGTAGTACTGTACTCTTTTAGAAGTACTGTAGTACTCTTTTTACCAAAGCTTTTAGGCGAAGAGGCAAAAGAACCGCTGAAAGCCGTTTGGCCTTATCTCTCAGTCGTGACAAGGAATCTTCGCGATGAACTCCGCCGACATCCACATATTCAATACTCGGTGCGTTGAAAGAAATAGTTTTAATTCAAGATTTTAGATGGAATTGATCCCGTTCGGCACCTCACTATTCATTCCACCGATCGACTGCCGGGTTTTCGATCTCACACTCTTTATGAGCACTTTGTTGAAATTCGGCAAAGTTGGGTTCAAGTTGGGCGAAACCGTGCACGAGGTCGATGTGAGGACACTGTTCCCGGGTAAAAGTTCTTCGTAGAAGCATTTAATTTCAAGTTTAATTCAAAAGATAACTTATATAAAGCCCACATTTTAAAACCTATACAGCACAATGACACAATGACATGTTCTATAGCCTCTATAAAGCTTGCTCCAGCTACCGTTCGGATAGTTGCTCTAGAACAAGCATCAGCTATCACAACTCAGATCTCTATATGAAAGGTCTTACAGATCTTAGCGTTTCCTATCCTTAACGTAAGTTATTTGTTTTAATGTTAACGCACAGATACTTGAGCTACTGTAAAAGCGACTAATGGATTATAGGATACGGTCGAATCACATTTTAGACTATTTGTAAAGGACTGTAGGGTCTCAGAAATCAATTTGCTTTTAAGGTTTAGTGATTATTTAACGTACTGTTAGCTAGCTAATTGTAACTTTTGAAAAGCTCCTTTAGTATCGCTATTTAGTAAGGAGTTTTTGTCAAGAAGCTTTTACTAGACCGAGTGGCCCACAATTAAAGCTTCAGAGGGCCTAGAATGGTCAAAATTGGATCAATCGTCCTGATTTTTCTAGAGGTAAATCTTAAGTATGTCTCTTGAAATCGTGCCCATGATCTAATCGATTCAAGCTTTCAACTTTTTTATATAGCCTGCCAAAGTTGAGAGCTTGTTCGGAGTTATGTATAACGCTGCTTTTCTCGATATTTTTGTAAGTAAGAGCCTAATCTAATATTGATCACTATATAGTCAAATTTTATGAGAAATCGAATGAAATCAACCGCAAGTCGCTCGGACGTCTGTAGGTCGAGATCTTAAACTCCGGCTTCTGTAGTGTATTGTAGCCCAAATACACTACAGAAGCCGAAGTTTTAGATCTCGACCTACAGAAGTCCGACCGACTTGCGGTTGTTTTCATTCGATTCCCCATATTGAGTTTCTTTTTTGATTAAAAGTGCGACGCTATAATTGTGGGTCACCCGGTACAGTACTTCGGGTTGGTGGTAAAATCAAAAGCTTAACTTAAACGAATAATTAGTGCTATCGTGCCTTCTTTATTTCTTGATTTTGCATTAACCTTTATATTTCAGGCTCAATTCCGTCAAGTCTCGCCGATTTATGTTCTCAAACGCCTCCATCACCGAGTGTACACAACAACGAGAAGCTCAACGGGGCTTCTATCGCTCCGCTCATCAACGAAAAGGTTCAACTCTTGCTTAAAGTTAAAATGTCTTGATGGAAAAGATTTCTCTAATAAAATTTCCAATGGAATTCTTTTTAGCAGTTCCGATCGTACAGCATTGCCGGGGTAAGCCTCTGCTTTTTATCAAAAAGGGTTTCCAAAGGGGACAATTTTTCTTTAGCAATGCATGGCTCTAAAATTTGCTCGAAAAACAAGAATGCAGTGCTTTTCAAATTAAAATTCTTCAAATATCGAAAAATTTTAGGTTTCCCCATTCGCGAACTCTTCGCCGCCAATGGTGAATTCGTTGAAAGTGGCGCACAATCGAGGTCGCCGGGTTTCCTTTGGAACGATCAAGTGTGAGGGAGAGGCATTCAAATTGGATGATGGGTGAGAAAAATCAAGAATTTCAAGTACTATCAAAGGTCAAAGTTGGAGGATTTTTCTCTCAAATGAGTTTTCCAAAATCGTACCAACTTCCAAAGCTACAGTAATCGCAGTTAATATAACAGATTTTATTGTAATCTAAGTGTCAAACCAAATCAGGTAAATCTAATGAGAAGAGGCAGAAGAGACTTGTAAACTTTTCCGAGCATCGACTCTGGTAGGCGTTTTAGAGAATGGTCAGCTACCGTAACTCAGACGTTAACGTAACTCAAATAGTTTACGAGTAAAGATTACTGTAGCATCTAACTTTAAGATAAAAGATAAGAAAGACGAACGATAGAAATCCATAAAATTCAAGGAATGAAGATCTAAGACGGATTGCGGTAGCTCCAGATTGGTCCAGAGTTGAACTTTAGCAAAACGTTCCCAATTAGCAGAAGTTACCGTAACTCAAATAGATCAAGATGTGACTTTTTCAAAGTTTCTGTTCTAGGATTCAAAAGTTCTTGGCAAAGCACAGGTATGGGAAGTTTGCCGTTCAATCTTTTTCATCAAGCATGTCAACAGAGATGACTTGATTAAATAGATTAACATGCTGTTTACCAAAACTCACAATATTCAGTTAATGCTAGCTTTGGCGCTGTAAAGTCTCACTACAGTATTCCACAAAGTATTCAGCCTTGAGGACCAAGTAATTTTGGCTCGAACAGAACATTTAGCTATTTAGACAGCTGAATACTTTTGTATTACTGTAGTGACGCGGGATACTGGAATCGTTACAGTAATCTACAGTAACTACCGTAACCTACAGTAGCCTACAGTAATCTAGCATAGTAGCGTATTTACTCTATTAGTGGGGTCCCCCACTATTTTTTCAATCCCCTTCCAGACGACCCCACTATTAGAGAGGACCCCACTATTAGAGAAATTTAAAAGAACATAAAACCAAAGTTTTAAATTGAAAAGATATCAATTTTTCTCCGAAATTCTTGACAAAACAAGTTTGGCTTCATATTTTATTTAGCTTTAACCGTAACAAAACATTAACAAACAGTAAAAGAACTAATCCAAGAGATCAACAATTGATGTATCACTTTCGTTACCAATATCTTCTTCCAATTCGAGAGGACCCCACTATTTTTTCAACCCCCCTCCAGACGACCCCACTATTAGAGAGGACCCCACTAATAGAGTAAATACGGTAAGTAGTGAACCTATTCATTTTCGGTCTAATTGTGTAGCAAGAAATCCTGAAAAAGTTTCTGTCGGAATGTTTAAACCTCGTTTTTCCGTTGTACACCTATTGAGAATGAGACCAAAAATGAATAGGCCTAGCAAGTAGCACAGTACAAAGCTAAAAAGTGAATGATCTTAGCTCGACTTGTTAGCTATAAGAATTATACGTACAATTACAGGGTGGCTGAGAAGTTCTGATTTGTTTTGTCTTTATATTAAAACTTGTAAAAGCCTAAAACTTGAATGGTTACATAATTTTTAATTTTACGTCAACCATACAAATTTGGAAATACGAAAAGTATGCTTTCAAAAACCTTTTTATTATTATTTCCTATAAGCCAATATTGTTTTTCAGTTTTTTTCGCGTGTCAATTTTCTACAATTCGTTCTAAACCAGTTTAGTTTAGAGTCAGTTTAGTCAGCTCTTCGTTCTAAACCAGTTTAGTCAGTTTTAGTTCTCTTAAAAGCAAATTTTGATACCTATCTGAAAGAAGAATGATTTTTCTTTAAAACCACCCCTTATATAGTCAGATTGCTTTTGAAATTATCGATTTTGAGAGCTTTAAACATTGTTAATCGAGCTTAGAAATCGCTGGAGTTCAAGGGAGTTGACTCGATTGAAAAAACATTAAAAATATACTTCAAAAAGCAAATTCCTTTGAAAATAAACAATATAAAAAATAAAATAGTCGAATTTTCTAAATTTGAGTTTTATTTTGCTCGATCTCGACGGAGTTTTATTAAAAAGATACGTCTATTAATGCGGACAGAGCTTTTCAGCCATCCTGGCTAACCGAATCAATCAACTGTTGACATGCTTGATCTATTCAACCCATTTTGTTTCAATAACCCTCTAGAGGCTATTTTAACCACGTGTTTCTCAAAAAAAAAAATCATATCCCGAGCTTTAAATCGAAATGCAAATCTCAAATTGATATGTGTTTTTCAGAGCCGACGGGTCGTAACCAAGAAATGATCTCGTAGTTTTCATTGCAAAAATTTTTGTGCCAAGATTTTCTTTTTCTTTCTTTATACTGCCTGATTATTTATATTATAATAAATATTTTTTTATTTTTAAAAAAACGTTTATGGCAAGAAGTACACAAAATTAAACTATTAAAATAGCCATCGACAAGATCGGGGAAAAAAACAGAACCCGTTGAAGAGAGACCATTTTATAGACAACATTCATTTGTTTTTTTTTGGAGTCTGCTCAAAACGCACCCCTTCTGGTGCATTCGATTCCTCATTTTCTCTAAACAATATTTATTGGGTTGGGGAGAATGAGTCGGCGCCGAAATTTAAAGAAACTTTTTGCACCCATAAAACCTTGTTTAAATACACGTTTTGTTTCATCAAAATGGTCGACTATTTCTTTACAAAATGGCTTTTGAGAGATTCCACAAAGCTTTTCTTTTTTGGGATTTTATGGATTCCCAAACACAGCTAATCAAAATGACAAAAAGTGCGACTCATTGCTTGAACAGTTTCTTCCACATAAACCTCCTTTGGTGTTTATATAAAAAAGATAGAGCACACTCAATTACATAAGTTACCAAATTTTCAGGAAGATCCCTCCAACCGTTTACTCTAGATGACAGTTTATCGATTTTGTGAAAAAATGATCCTTTGTTGGGTTGAGGCGCTGTTTGAGTTCTCTTTTAAATATTATTTTGTAGAGAATTAGTTACCCTTCTACGGATATCAAACGCATATCATTTGACAAAGTCTGCTATAAGTTTTAGAAATTTCTTTCATTTTCGGCGCCGACTCATTCTCCCTAACCCAATATATTATAATAAATATTTTTTTAAAAAAACGTTTATGGCAAGAAGTACACAAAATTACACTATTAAAATAGCCATCGACAAGATCGGGGAAAAGAAGAGGACCCGTTGAAGAGAGACCATTTTATAGACAGCATTCATTCGTTTGTTTTTTTGGAGTCTGCTCAAAACGCACCCCTTCTGGTGCATTCGATTCTTCATTTTCTCTAAGCTTGATCTAACATGGAAAATGAAGATTTCAGTGCGCCAGAAAGAGTGTGATACTGGTTTCTCTGAGCTCAAAGTTCATCCTATTCATGTATATGTCGTAGCCGTTTACGAAATTCAGCCGCTAATGAATGAGGGTATTTCCGGCCATCTGAAGTCGTTCCTCGCCCTCTTTCTCCTAGCTTTGAAAAACAAATGTTCAATGTAGCTTTACTTTAAGAAACTACATCAAATTGGCTACAAAATGAGCTATTAGGCAAGTTTTTTGGCTGAGTAGAAAATTTTTTATAGCCATTTTAGGGCATTTTTGAACCTAAACTTTAGGGGCTCAAAAAAAATTTTCTACTGAACCAAATGAGCTAGTTTCAAAAATTTATTATAAAATATATGTATTATGAACATTTTTTATGTGGGTGACTTTTTGATTGGATGCCCGGAAATACCCTCATTCGTTAGCGGCTGAATTTCGTAAACGGCTACGACATGTAAAAGTGTAAACAAATCCTTTCTAGTGCATTAAATTCTTCATTTTTTTTCAAGGAGAAAAACGAAGAATTTGTGTGCCAGAAAAGGTGCGTTTGAGCAAAAAGTAAACCCCGAAAAAAACAAATCGAGTACAAAAGAAAATGCAAAATGGTAAGAATACATAAATTAATGAAAGAAAACGAAAAGATCATAGATAATAAGATAATAAGACTAAAATAATCATAAAAATTAAAAAACCAAAACCTTTGATGATTTATTGGATGGAGAATGAGTTAAGAAAGATTTCTGCGGATATCTGACCGCGTGACGCGCCCACTATTGTGTTCATCGACGTGTACCGGGTCAAGTACGGCAACTCTTTCAGCATACCGCTCTGAAAATTGGAAATTAGTTGTTCAGCAGGAAATTACAGTACACCTACACAGCTACAGTACTCCAACGTCAGAGCAGTACCCTCTACACCAGTTACAGTCCCAGTCTATATCCCAAAATCAACACAGTATCTCCCACCCTTCTACAGCAGCGACAGTACCCATCAACCACAGTACCCCATCAGCTACAGTATCCCATTAGCTACAGTATCTCATCAGCTATGGTACCCCATCAGCTACAGTACCCGATCAGCTACAGTATCCCATCAGCTACAGTATCCCATCAGCTACAGTACCCCATCAGCTACAGTATCCCATCAGCTACAGTATCCCATCAGCTACAGTACCCTGAATCATGTCTTTACCGTATACACAATATCTCCAAAGATTGTGGAACATTTGAGGCCCCGCCCCCTTTCCTATTGGCAATCCAACTTTAAGCTCAAATATCTTGGTATTGGGCTGTCCAATTTAACGCACTTTTATACCAATCGATAGAGAAAGACTTGACGCATCCAATGATACCAAGAACATTCAAATTGGACAGCCCAACACCAAAAAATTTGAGCTCAAACTTAGATTTCCAATCGCAAAAGGGGCAGAGAATCAAGTGTCCGATAAGCATCTCCAAATACTCACACAAAGTGCTTGTCGCAAATTCATCAACTCCCCGATCGCCCTCAGCGTTGGTACTTCTTCGCGGAAACGATCGCGCACGATCTGAAAGAAATCGCAGTTTGAATTTATATTTTATTTAGAGAATTATACTGTAATATGTAATATATTTATTTCAATTTTTTTTAGAAATTCTTTTTTTGTGCCCTTTTTAAATATACCCAATGTTATCCGGGCCTTCTAATGGTTTTGGTTTTTGTTTTAATGGTTTTGTTATCTATAATTTCTATTCAAAAGTGGATTATGTTTAAAATAAAAGAAACTTTAGCAATTTAAAAGTTCTAGAATATCGAAGTGAATCTATTTCCTAATAAATCACTTTTGATTTTCAACTTTTATTAGAACCCCTCAATTTCGAATTTCCCCTCAAAGTTTTCCGCTTTCGTTTTCCCCAATGATTCAATATCCTTTAAAAATCATCGAAACAATGTTTTCCGAAAAAAAATTCCCCAATCTTTTAATATTTTAATGATTTGATGCGTAATTGATGTCAAAAAGTTTGAAATTTTCGATTTTTTCGATTTCGATTGAACAATTATCTCGACTTTTGCTCTTTTGACTAAACTTTTCAATAAATATAGTTTCATTTGTTAAATGAACAATTAATCGTTTAGTCATTTTTGTTTATCTAAAGTAATAAATATAAACGCAAAGTAGGAAACGCATCTGATCTGACCCTAAATTGTTGGATTTTGGTCCAGTTACCCAAGTCAGCATTGCAAGAGTCTTCCAGAATACATAAACGCAATCTGGTTCCTTAAGATTCAGCTCCTTAAGATGCAGCTCCTTAAGATTGAGCTCCTTAAGATTGAGCTCCTTAAGATTGAGCTCCTTAAGATTCAGCTCCTTAAGATTCAGCTCCTTAAGATTCAGCTCCTCAAGATTCAGCTCCTTAAGATTCCTGGATTCGTTTATTTTTTATCAAAATATTGACCTGAACAAGAATTGCTTCATATTTGGTGCGCGCTTTTCGCACAATGTCAGCGCTTTTCTCCGAGAGGCCGAGCGCTGAAAATGAATGGGGTTGCTGTAGATATTTGAATAATAAAATGCATTAGTTATTGTCGAATTTCATTAGAACAATTCAAGCTCTTAAAAACTGACCATTACTGAAGATGATGATATTCTTGAGCACCACATACTCCTCATCACTCAGCCGCAAATCTTTGAACACTTTGAGCACAGTTTTCTGCATACACAATGCTCCTTGCGAGAGAACTTCGGCAAATCTAGAAAAAGATCTTGTTTATCTGACTTGTTATTAAGTCAAAGTGCCTTCTAGATCTTTATTTTCTATAAGATTTGAAGTGTTGAGCTTCAAAGCTCACTCTGGAAAAAGTGTCGAAATGTCCATATCGGAGAGGCCAGAAAGGAGGCCGTCACGCTCCAATTTGTACGTGTAGAAGAAAAGTTGAAGCGGGAAAAGCATTGTGAAGAGACGAGAGCAGAAATAAACCTGAAAAGTTTGGATTTCGTTTGGCTTTGGACGTATCTTTTGGAGTAGAACCGGCAGCAAACCAACAGTTTACTAAAAGTCTACCCAATTTTCGTACAATAAACTGGGTCTAGTGTTTCCTTATCGAACGAAAACTGCTAGTTTAATTACGGTTGTTTTCTAAAATAGAAAACTATCGTAGAAAAACTCTTAGAAAATGTACAAAGAAGGCTTTTTGGCTTTTTTATCGAAATCTAACCCGATCTCGATCCTCGAGCGCCCAAACTTCTGGAGTCGCTTTGAGCCAATCGACGAGATGGGCAACGGCTCGGGCACAGCATTTTGGCATGAATGAGGAAGCTGTCTAAATGCAAAGCTTGCTTTTATACCATGAACTGAATGAATTAACATCTTTATAGCTAATTGATCTAATTGAGCTAATCGTCCGTAAACTCTTTCCCCACCTGTGCCTCTTTCAGCGGGAGATTCCAATCCATCATCTGCTCGTCGGCGTTTGAGCCACAGGTTCTGAAATGAGTTAATTTAAAGTTGATATGTTGCTGAAGTTAAATACTAGCATTTTTTTAAGTAATTAAGGACTTAAGATCCCTTTTTACCTTTCCAATTCAACAAGGGTGATCGCTGTTGCCTTGTAGTTAGGCTCAACGCGGAAAAGACATTGCGGTGATGGGATGAACTCGATTGGGGACGGGATCTAAAATTTAAATGATTAGAAGTGAAATTTAAATTCTTGCTAACCATAAAATCTTATTTCTAATCTTTTGGATACCTGTTTTGGTTCGACTTTCCCCACCAATTCTCCTCGTTCCTCTTCGGTCATTAAGCGACGTTTTTGAGCTCGTTGACCGGGAACTAAAGACATTTTTAGATTTTACATATATTAGATTTAGATCTTAAATACATATAGAATATAATATATATATTTAAATATAGATTTAGATTAGAAAATCGGCATTTAAAAAGCTATTTAAGTCTAACTCACTGTTAGGCAAGAGTCCAACCCGAATGCATTTCTGGTAGCGACAAGCTCGACACTTTTTCAGGGCAAGTGCTGAAATGGGAATATTGAAAGAGGTAAAATCTATTGTAATCTACAGTAATCTACAGATTTAGACAGTAAGCCGAAGATAGATTTTATAGTTTTAAGAAAAGAAACTCACGCAATGTGCACTGGCCACCTTTTGTGCAGAGCAGCGGTTTTCCACCAACCGCGCACCGAAGGAAAAAGATTTTGCAGCCACTGAAATTTGCATTTAAAGCTAAATCTCAATTTGCATTCAATCTAGTTTACTGGGATAGATTTTCATTCAAAAATTGGGTCAATTCCACGTAAAATCCAGGATTTGAAATACTTGAAAGCGAGAGCGCTTTGCTACAGTTACTATGTCGTATTTGTTACAGAATACTATGTCGTATTTGTTGCAGAGTACAGTTACAGTACTTGTCTTTATGCACTTTAGAATATTAGTATGCAAATTTAAGATTTAAAACTAGTACCAACCCGCAGCAATACGATCCATAGACGTGAATGGCGGGCACGGCGCCGCAAACCCGACACGACAACTCTATCTCACCGTTTGGTGACGTGGCACATGAGGACTGAAATCAAGCGATTTTTCAAATCTCCATTACTATTGTACTTTACTTTATGTTTTGTACAATACAAGTCACTTTTAACCCACTTTACACTCGATTTTTAAGTTGAATTTGACATTTGTGCGAAGTTTAAAACAGATTGCAAATCCTTTTTTAACTTTCCCGCTTCATAACGAAAGATATCTGCCAAAATTTAGTTCAAATTTTTCATTGCTTGTTTCATTTTTCAAAATTCCAATACAAAGAGTGATATTTGCTCTTAAAAAAAGCCATAGATTTGAGCTGATAAAAGACTTGAAACTCAGAACACAGCTGCTACTAAAGCAACGCAAGTCCAAGTCTCGAGCAGGTGGTTTTAAATTGGTTTTAACATTATTTTTCTTTTTCACAAGTACTACAGTTTTCAACTACAAGAGAATATTTAAAGTTTTTGGTAGGAAATCGTCAAGAAATCCCTAGGTAAGGAAATCAAAGTCTAGCAATTTTTAGTTTGCCAAATCGAATCCGTTTTTTGCATCTTTAAACCAATAAGGGAGGGCTTAATAGCTGCGAATTTGAGGAAATAAACGAATCCAGGAAACTTAAGGAGTTGAATCTTAAGGAGTCAGATTGCGTTTATGCATTCTGGAAGACTTTTGCAATGCTGACTTGGGTGACTGGACCAAAATCCAGGAATTTAGGGCCAGATCAGATGCGTTTCCTACTTTGCGTAGCTAAACAAGAAATTCTCTTGTTTATTTGTTTTGATTCAGGGTTTTCTTTTCCTTAAAGAAAAGTACACCAGTTTCATTTTCAACTACATCAAAATATTCAAAGATTTACAAGAGGAGATTGTGGAAAAAATACCAGACCCGGCAAAGATCACTGCTAATCTCGAGGATGATTTACCAGCCTTAATCTAGATAATCTAGTTAGACTACACTTCGTATCAGTCTGTAATTTGAATCGAAAAATGAAAAGATTAAGCGTGTTTTGCTCAGCCGTTTTGCTCAGCCGTTTTCCTCGAGAATGAGTCATTCTCACAAGTACACTAGCGGTAGTACACTACCGTAGTGTGTACCGTTTTTTGCATCTTTAAACCGATAAGGGAGGACTTAATAGCTGCGGATTTGGGGAAATAACGAATCCAGGCAACTTAAGGAGCTGAATCTCAAGGAGCCAGATTGCGTTTATGTATTCTGGAAGACTTTTGTAATAATGACTTGGGTAACTGGACTTGGGTAACCAAAATCGTAGTGTGTACCGTAGTGTACTACCGCTAGTGTACTTCTGAGAATGACTCATTCTCGAGGAAAACGGCTGAGCAGAACACGCTTAATCGTTTCATTTTTCGATTCAAATTACAGACTGATACGAATCATGTAGCATTGATTTAAGGCTTAGATTGTTTTGGATGTCTACTGGATTTTGTCTGAAATATCTTTTAAATGTGTAGTCAATTGGTTATAGCTTAAAAAGAAGTTAAAGTTGGGTAAATGAATGTACTTATAACTTTATAAATTCGCTTAATAACTTTGCCTGGGATAGCTCGGGTTTACTTACTTTGTGCTCAACGGTAAACGCACACTTTCTTTCTCAAGTTCTCCATTTTTCTCCGTTTTAAAGTAATGAGGGATTCAGTGCGCCAGAAAGAATGCGTTTACATATTTAAGCATAAAGTACAGCTCTACAGCAAGATTACCGTGGAATCTCTGGAGTTAAAGTTAAAGTTAAAGTTAAAGTCCAATCAAATCCCCCAAGTCAAGCAGATTTCTGTAAATTTCCGATATTCTGCCTACTAATATCATTTAGTATTATCTTCAAAAATAAATAGAGAAATTTTACTTGTATCTTAACGGGGAAGAGATCGGTCGGCGATTCAGGACTGCTTGACGTCAACGAGATCGAACTCGACGTTGATGGAGTGGGCGAAGAGGAGAAAGTTTGCATTCAAGAATATCTGTAAATTATTGGCTATTAAAAATGTTATCTATAGTAGAATCGAATTGAAAAGTTCAAAAAGAGGCATAAAATAACTCGAACAATAAAACAGCAATGAATAAAAACAAGAGTTGAGTGGGTTAAAATTGTTCTAAGGTCAAATACCGTAAGATGGACTAACAAGCTAGAAGTTAAATTTAACAAAAACAAAAGATAGAAGTTGTTGGGGAATTCTCGAGTCGAGAAAATAAACGTTTGAACAACTGAGTTAATTGGAAAGTGGTTAAGAAACAGAAAAAACTTAACTGAACCAACTGGTAACTTAACAGGTACTGAACTGGTAACTGAACCAACTGGTAACTGAACCAACTGGTAACTTAACTAGTACTTAACTGGTACTTAACTGGAACTTAACTGTTAACTAAACCAACTGGTAACTTAACTGGTACTTAACTGGTACTTAACTGGTACTTAACTGGTACTTAACTGTTAACTAACTGGTACTTAACTGGTACTTAACTGGTACTTAACTGTTAACTAAACCAACTGGTAACTTAACTGTTACTTAACTGGTAACTGAACCAAATCCAATCCAATCGTCACGATCGAAAAGATTTCTGGTTAAACTGGTTGAAACTAGTACAAAAATGACGTACATGGCTTGTCAATCAAAGAAATTAAAATCAATTTCTCAAGCAGCTATCAAAACTGGCTCAATGTTAGTTTTAGTTAAGTTCTAAAGTTAAGCCCTAAAGTTCAGTTTTAAAGTTAAGTAACTGATTTGATTTAAAAAATGCAAATCTCATCATTTCAACTATTTAGAGTTTATGTTTGTAAAGTTTTCTCAAGAAAAAAAAGTCTATACTTGTTCATTTTATACTCGAAACTCAAAGTAGAATAAGTTTAGTTCAGAAATTACAAAAAGGCGTGGCTTTTTTGAGCTTTTCCCCCGAGGCGGTACATTGTAAAACGAAAATTCCCAACGAAAATTCCCTTTTCCCTTTTTGTGAATAAGTACACTGTAAATTGCAACCAGTTACCGTATTTAATTGAGCTTTTCACTTTCCGAATCATTCCAAACATCACTAGAGCACAAGCAAGTACAAATATTTGCCTTTTTGGACTTTATGATTTTCAAAATACAGTCCGAAAAATGTTTTTTGAGTAAATGGACGCGATTTGAGCCTAAACAGTGTACCAAAGTTCTAAAATTTCTACAATAATACAAGTTCTAGAATCCTAAACGAAAACCAAAGTACTAAAAGAAAATCCTAAAAGAAAAAGAAAAAGAAAATCCGAAAAGGTTTTGTAAATGAAATGAAATCATAAAAGATTCAAGATTTGAAAAGACAAGATTTAAAATTCAATTTACAAACACAGATTTTCACTGTAGAAGGTTCGTGCAATCTGGCGTAGTAGGCTTATTTATTTCATAGGATTTTCAAGATACACAAAAGGATTCGTTTAATTTGTGGGCTTAGTTTTGATTTAACCACCGAAACTTTGTTGAAATCGGTTTAATTACGAAAATTTGTGCTTTTAAATCAATTTCAAATCTTGAATCTTTTAGGATTTCATTATTTGTGTTTGTTAAAATCTTTTCGATCGTCACGATTGGATTTGGATTTGGTTCAGTTACCAGTTAAGTTACCAGTTAAGTTAAATTACCATTAACAAACACAAATAATGAAATCCTAAAAGATTCAAGATTTGAAATTCAATTTACAAACACAAATTTTCGTAATTAAACCGATTTCAACAAAGTTTCGGTGGTTAAATCAAAACTAAACCCACAAATTAAACGAATCCTTTTGTGTATCTTGAAAATCCCAGAAAATAAATAAACCTACTACGCCAGATTGCACGAACCTTCTACAGTACGATTCTCAGTAGATTCTCGGTAGATTCTACAGTAGATTCTCATTTTGTGCACCAATAAGCACAAAGTAAACACTTAGAATAAGATTTTAAACGTTTACATTTACATTAAAACACTCATAGAAAAAAAATATATGCAAATTGCTATATTATTCGAATTATTAAAAAGGAAGATATTAAAAAAAGTAAAAAATTCGATCAAAAAACTTCAACTAGAGCTAGATTAGGTAGAGGATTTTGAGAAGGGAAAAATGAAAGGCTTAACGCAAAAAAGTGACCTATTTTCTTACTAGATTGTAATTCGCGATTGAAAAGGATTATTTCTGAAAAAGAAAAATAAAAATCACAAAAAAAATTCGAGTACTAACGAGAAGAAATCACTGAGAAAAATCACTTTATAATGTTTATCAACTAAAAATGTACGAAAAGTGTACATAAAAATGGGAAATGTGCTCGATTTAATGGAAATTAAATGGAAATAAATGGAAATAAATGCAAATGAATGGAAATAAATGCAAATTTCTTGGTACTTGTCGGTTAAAAATCGACAAAGACTCATCTCGTTTAAGCATCCCCATCCGAGTCTTCTCGGTTATCGATTCTCGTTCGACTGATCGACTGATCACTTCAGGCAAGCACTCTACTTCACTGAACATCACGCTTCAAAAGTTGTCAGCTCTTTGCTTAACCGAGCTGAGTCTCTGTGGATTTATAACCGACAAGTACCGGCAAAACCCATTCGGCAATAGTGAATCCAATACAGTATTTAGTTTTTGCCAAGGGGACCGTATTCTCGAGAAAAAGGCGGGTACCTGTTGGCTATACATCGACAAAGACTCATCTCCGTGAAGCATCCCCATCCGAGTCTTCTCGGTTATCGATTTTCGTTCGACTGATCGACTGCTCACTTCAGGCGAGCACTCTACTTCACTGAACATCACGCCTCAAAAGTTGTCAGCTCTTTGCTTAACCGATTTGAGTCTCTGTGGATTTATAACCGAAAAGTACCAATTTTTTTCATAAACGTATTGTTTTTGATGGTTTTTGATGGGGCAATGAATGAGATTAGAGAGCAAAAAAGAAAGCTCACTCATACTTTTCACACAATTTGTGTACTTTGTGAAGAAATTTGTTTCTATGAAACAGTTGACTCATCGAAGATGGTAGATACTTATCCGATTACCTCAATAAAATGAAACATTCAGTGCACTAGAAAGGGTTTATTTACACAGATTTGAGCATAAAGTACAGTAAAGAATGAGGATGAATCAAAGAATCGATCAAAGAAGCAAAGAATCAATCAATTTCATCTCTAGATCTCTTGATTTACAAGTGCAACTTGCAGTAGCTCATTACAGTATGCCAAAAACGGTAATCAGCTAAGACAGAAAGCCTATTAGAAATCGGTTTTCGGTCCGTTCGCCGATAAAGCAGAAGTTCACGTCTTGAGTCCTTTCAAATCGACTTTTTCAAACGACTTTTTATCATTAGAGCTTATAAAATCCTATCAAATGCAAATTTCTAATACCTATCTTGACTTTGGTGCATTTAAAGTACATTTAAAGTACATTTAAGTACATCTAAAAATACAATGATACAAAAATACAAAGGTACAAAAATATAGTACATTTAAAGTACCATATGACCAGCATATCTAAACTGAAACAGAGGTTGAAACTCTTTAAACATATAAAATGCTCGATCTTAAGACAAATACGAAAGCTTTACAGTACATCTAAACTACCGTAGGACAAGCAGATGCAAATTTTTAGAAAAAAAACAATCATTAGTAGGTACAATAAATTTCTCATAGCACTTGTACTGCAATTGAATTTGAGTCCACTTAGACGCCAATTTGCCACGCCTGACTTGAGCAATGATTGAAATGAAGAAAAGATTGAAATGAAAAGTACAGATTCACGATTTACATCGGATTTACACAGCTCATTCTTCAAATTTTCGCCAAAAAGTACAGGAATTCTCTCATGATTCTCTCGCTATACTTGGAATGAATGCAGAACTTTGAGAAGCCTTTCCGATGGGAAAAATGTTTCAAATAGTCTCGGGATTTTAGAAAAACGTGTTATTCACAGAAGTTTGAAAGTTCAGAAAGATCGAGTTGGGTAAATGAATCGGCCAAATTGCACAATACCAATACACGTTTACGGTTGATTACGGTATATAAGTAATAGTTTATGGGGTTACTGTAGGGCTCTGTGAGGCTTGGAGTACTGTAAGCTCGGTGGCTCATAGCTAAAATAAACGTAAAGTTCGAAGGGTACAGGTAAACTGACGAGAAAGTCAAGGTTACAGTAAACGAGGTAAGCTGACAAAAAGGCCAAGATTACGGTAGCTAAAGGAGCTAAACTGACGAGAAAGCCAAGGTTACGGTAGCTAAAAGAGGTAAGCTAACAAGAAAGCCAAGGTTAAGGTAGCTAAAGGAGCTAAGCTGACAAGAAAGCCAAGATTACGGTAGCATAAAAGCTCTTAAGTAAGAATCAAAAACTTAAGTAAGAATCAAATACTTAAAAGTCTACCGTAATCTTGGTGAGGATTACGGTAGAAATGGCACGGTTCTTTCACCAAAATGATCACCAAATACGAGAATAACAGGAAGAAATCATAAGCAATTTATTGCATAAATCCGGCTTAGCGAATAAATTTGAAAGATTACAGAATTTAATCAAAACTACAGCTTTAGTAAGCCGCGATTTTCCAAAATACAAAACAAAATCGTCTTAACTTTGTCTGCAAACGGGGAAATCCTCTCATCTCCTCGTCCAGATCTCTTGCTACATCTCTTGCTCAAATAAATCTATTTTTTTTGTCAAATCCTGATCAAACAACACGGATTTTTCGAATATTCAAATGCACATATGTACGCGAATTATTTTTCCCACTTTTGCCCGAATCAACAATCGAGAATTCACCTACGTGACTGCGGAAATTGTTGAATGTAGCCAAATATGAACTTTCTTTGGCCAAAATTCAATGATTAAACTTGTGATATGTTTATCTATGCATAGAGCAATTTGGGTTTGTTTTTGAGAAGAGATTCTAGAGACTATATTGTCACTGTTGATCCAAAGCCAAGTTTCCAGGGTCAAGCAAGGCTAGGTTTGGTCTGGAGC